CTTAGGGTCCCTACTGTAGCTCTATATATACAGCATTAGGCTCATGGAAGAGTAGGAGAACAATCCCATAACTTGGGAATATCGTCCAGCCCCTTTCTCTCTCTCTTCCAAGGAGTTCTTCTATTTCTTGTGTTCCACTGATACAAGATCTAGAAAGCTGTTTGAGAATACAGTAGAAGATCTTAAGGTATATAGAGATTCCGATCATACATCCAAACCGGAGACCAAAACCAGCAAGTGACCATACCACGACGACCAGGACGACGAGACGAAGAGATCGCCGCCGAGATCGCCGCCGTCCGACGTCGCACGCGCCGCCACGCGCCGCCGGAAGGGAGCAGCGGCTGGATCTTGCAGACGCGCGTGAGAGCGCATGAGAGCCCCGTTTTCCGACCGGTCAACACCGTTGACTTCGCCGTGACGTCAGCTTTCTGGATTGGTCAAGTTTGTTCGATTCCGAGAAGATTTGATTTGCGGTCAACTGTCCGGGCCAGCCAGATCTACATAAATTTTAAGCAGTAAGTTTTCTTCATCAAACCTTTAGATCCGCTGCGCATAGGTTTATGTTGAATGTTTGTCTGTGATTTGTGCATATCGAGATCCTCGTGGGTTCCAACACAAACGCCTCCAAGATACAACGAATTTTGACTTGTATATAGTGGTACTTCAAATATACAAGCCTTCGGAAAACAATACTAATGTTTTGGAAGTCTCAAGACTCAATAAGAAAATCAAATACACAATATGTTATATGATATTTGAAAAGTAATGCAAGAGCTCTTTAATTTTCAAGTTATGAATGATTTCAAGTATGCGGGTATTTATAGATGTAGGAAAGCACCTCTAAGAGGTTTAAGTGTCAAAAGACATCTTTTGGGATGTGCCCGAACGAGAACGGATCCATCTAGTGGCCAAAAGATACCTTATGGTCACCAAGGGTTGCAACCCTTTGATTTTGATTTCCGCAGCCAATTGCGCGTTCGTGCGCCGCGGGCTCGTACGAGCTCATACGGACTCGGAATTGAGTTCTGTTTTTACCTACTCGTCCCCAACGAGCCCTTCTACAATTCTAGGATACAAAATGCATGTTTATGGCTCGTTTAATTTGTCTAAACATTTATCAAAACATAATATTTTATGAATCCAATTATTTGAGTTACTTAAACTCATTGCTTCAACTTTATATTTCCCACGTATACAATTTAGAATTAATTTCTCATTCATCTTAAAATGGTTTTGAGAATTTTAATGTCTTCCATTTATAAAAAATGGAACCGTAAATCGGTACAAAACCAATTTTTCTTACAATCCTCCACATGAATGAAATTAATGCATATATGCAATACTTGAGAGTTCCAACGAACCATCATTGCATCAGGATAGATAGCTTGTGGCTTTGAATCTTCCTTAGTGAAATACTATCGGATACACTAGCCAGTTAGTAGCGCGATGCTTTGAACTTACCGACTGTTTGTGTGCACCAAGACA